ACATCTTAAAGTGGCCAAGGTTGAGAAACACTGCTCTAAACCAATAAATGTAGAATAGATTTTCTCAACTCATACATTTCTTATATATATATAATTATATATATATATTATTAAAACTTTTAAAAAGGAAAATAAAAACTAATACAAACTAGTATATAGTAAGGAAGAAAAAAGAAAAAGAAAGAAACCAAAGAGAAAGCCAATGGTAGACTGACCAAAATATGCCAGACTGACCAGTATTGTCCTCACCATTAGCAAGGAATGCTGCAGAAAAATAAATAAATAAATAAATAAATAAATAAATAAATAAATAAATAAAAGAAAAATAAGAAAGAAATATACAAAGTGGTTTCCGATATTCTTCACAGCAGTTATAAGGACTATTATATTTTAACCTCTGAGTTCTTTTTCATCGCTTTTTTTTTTGAACAAAGAAGGCGCCTCCAGCAGAGTGACTGAATGTGATGAATAAATAAATGAAAATAAAAGTGATGAAAAAGTGATGAATGCATTTCAGTTTCATCCCAAATCATTCCAGCACTTTTACTTTTATTTCCATTCACTCTGCTGGAGGCTCCTTCTTTCTCCTTCGCCTACTTCCGAAGGTGTTTTTTACTTTCATCAAAATCACTCGGTGTTTTCTCTGCCTCTTAATCTTAACCATTCTTTGGTCTTTTGAAGCACCTTCTTTGCAGCTATTTTTCCTGCAATATATATATGATAACAACATTCTTTTTTCATCCTCATTATTTACAGCAGCCATCATTCTCTTATAAGCATTTTTTTCCCTCAGCCACAGCCTCTCTCACTTTTATCATTCCACAAAATCCACCTTCCCAGGACTCAGTGACATAATTCTTTTCCCCCCCACATGTGCTCACCTGATGTCCACTTTCTGTTCATTCTGCTGGGAGATCAGACATACAACTTATTTATTTATTTGACTGGACATTCAGAGTTTGAGCATTCTGGGGTGTCTCATGATTGGGCAGCTACTTTTATATTTAATTTCGATAGTTTGGGCAGTTTATTCTGGTTTTAATTTTAAAATCTATTGTAAGTTGCCTAGAGTTATCTGAGCTGGGTGGTATGAAAATATTATTCTTTCTTTCATTTGTTATTTCATATCCTTTATTCCTTTTAGTCACAATCTTCCAAATACACTTTTGTTTTTTTTACTAAGAGAGGGAAGGATTAGACTAGATTTTTTTTTTTATCTGCACTCAGTCGTTACCGACTCTGCAGTGACTGCTTTGGATGAGTCCTTGCAGTTTTCAAGGCAAGGTGTTTCGGAAGTGGCTTGCCAGAGCCTCCTTCCTAGAGCAGAGCCCAGCTGGCGAGGGCAGGAGGCGGGGGTTTCGTTGGGTTGCGACCTTTTTGGGGATACGTGGGTTTTTTCCCTTAACGG